TCATTAGTAATTGGCTCAACCTGGAAACAACCAAAATATCCATCAACTGGTGAATGAATAAACAAATTGTGTTCAGCAATAAAAAGATCAAGCTATTAATATAAGCAACAACATGGATGGAAACCAAAAGCACTATGCTAAATGAAACTCAGATATAAAAGACAGATTTCACTTGTATGACATTTTTAAAAAAGCAAAATTGTAGTGGTAGAAATGATATCAGTGGTTTCCAGTGGATGAGGTTCAGGAGAGGATTAACTATATAGGGCACAAGGGAACTTTGCAGCATGACGAAAATATTCTATATCTTTTTAAAAAACCTTTAACAGTTTTTATTTGCCTATACACATCTCAGGATATTGACTTTTTTTTCCCCCAGAGTTACAGGAATGAGTTTATTAGAAGGGATAGGAAATGGGAAAAGGGGACATTTTCAAGGGAGAGAGTGGGTCCTCTCAGAGAGGAGAGGGAGAGTATGCCTTTCCTGCCCTCCAGTTTTGTTGGGGGACCCAGGGAAATTTCCAGATAGTTCCACCCAGGTCCACCTCTTGACTTTTGACTGACAGCAGGATGACATCAGACTTTCAAATACCTACTGCCATGAGAACTCTAAGTCACTTTGGTCCATGCTGACCAGTTCTATTTGGAACCTGTTCTTATAGATTTTGTGGTTAGGGGAAATTATCCTTTTCTCCCTGAGTTCCAGGATCTGGTCTGTGTAAGGTTCACACAATTCCCCCACTTCAAGGTAATTTGTGCTCTTCTTATCAGCATTTTGGGGCCTGAATTTCTCCTGCAGCTAACAGGTAGTTTACTGAAGAATACAACATATCCTGTCCTCTTAAGCCAGGCAGGCCTGTAGGTATACTGCTTTTTAAAAGTGAAAGTATACAGGGGCCAGGACAGTGGGCCCACTTTATAGTATTATTCTGTTAAGGGAATAATTCATGTTCCCACCACTCAAATCTGTATGCCCCCTCTATTCCCTTATCTAGGACTTTGGGTGGCTAAATTCTTTTAGGATATTGAATGTCAACTCACTCTGGCTGCTTTCTGCTGGAAGAGGGCAAAGTTGAGGGGGAAATTACCCAAAGTCTTTGTTCTCTATGGGGTAGGGCATGGCCAATTAAGGGTGTTTAGCTCATGCTGGCAGTTGGTAGGTGACAAGTTGAGGTGTTCATAGGGTAGGGATCATGTGAAGTCGATATCTCTGAAGATTCCCCTATCAGCCACCAAGAGATGTTGTGGGAGCAAAGATGTCTCCAGAGAAGGGTCCCAGGAGTTCCCAGAGAGAAGGAGGAGCTTGACTTAGGACCAGTGGAGTGTTTGACCTACATGATCAAAAAGAATTTCAGCAAGTGCCAAAGGCATAGATGCAAGTTTATTCAGGAAAGTTGATACACATTTAAGGGAGAATGTGGGCCATCTCCAGAGGGAGATACAACCAAAAATATTCTATATCTTCACTATGGCATTAGCTATATGACTTCGTGTACTTGTCAAAACTCATAGAACTTTAAACTTCAAAAAAGTGAACTTCATGGTATACCAGACTTAAAAAAATATATCAACCAACCTGTGGATTTAAGAAAGCTTGGAAATAAACCATCAAACAATCTATCTGAAGAAGTTACAAGGGCTGGGGTTGTGGCTCAGTGGTAGAGTTCTTGAATAGCATGTGTGAGGTCCTGGGTTCGATCCTCAGCACCACATATAAATAAATAAAGGTATTTTGTCCACCTAAAACTGAAAAAAAAGTATTTTAAAAAAAGAAGTTACAAATACTGGGTTAAGTTTGTGGTGGTATAATTCTTCTTTTGCAAAGACATGTTTTCCCCCTCATGACTACATTCAAGAATCTACAATTATCCTTGCCTCCTTGTCTTTATCAATTAATTCATTGAGGGGGTATAACAAAATGATAACTTTTGCAACGTATCCTCCTCCTTCTCCTTCTTCTCCTTCTCTTTCTTCTTTGTACTGGCAATTGAACCCAGGGATGCTTAACCACTGAGCTACACCCCAGACCTTTTATGTTTTATTTTGAGACAGGGTCTCACTAAATTTCCAGGATTGGACTTGAACTTGCCTTTCTTCTTCCTAATCCCCTAAATGGATGGGATTATAATTGTACTCTATCAGTCTTTGATGTTTATTAGTCAACATTCTTCTAATATAGAATGACACTTTTTTTTCTTCATTAAATGGGGTTTGGGGTTACCTGAAATATGGTTTCTACTGGAAAGCAGGCAATTGCCTAATCACTCTCTTATAATAAAACTAATTGCTCCCGAGATTGTGGAAATAAACCATCAAACAATCTATCTGAAGATTTTGTTGTCTTAGTTTTGTTCATTCCAATAGTTTAGAAAATAGAAGTGATTCTGTCCCAGTTTGAACTGTTTCTTTGGGTGACACTTAAAAAATAATTGGTTTAGGGGCTGGGATTATGGCTCAGTGGTTGAGCACTTGCCTAGCATGTGTGGGGCACTGAGTTCAATCCCCAGATCCACATAAAAATAAATAAAATAAAGGTCCATTGACAACTAAAAATTTTTAAAAACATCTTGGTTAGATGTTAAATATCTAAATTAATTTGAGGAAAAACACATTACAAAATAATACATAAGATATTATATTTATGTTTAACCTATGTATTCACATATAGATCCAAGTATATATGAGAATAAAGTATATGGTAAAGGTTATATTTCAAATGGTTGGGAGCAGTATGGTCTCATCAGTAAATTCCTTTGGGAAACTAGTTATGTATCAGGAAAAAATGAATTATATAAATGTATAATGGTATTATAACCATAGAATAAGAGAGTATTTTACATAAGACTCAGTTGAGGAGGAAAAAAACATAGTTGCAAAGATTGATGAATTTACCTACTTCAAAATGGAAAAATTTCAATATATGTAAAGACAACATAACCAGTATTAAAAGAAGCTACAAGGGCTGAAGATGCTGCTCAGTGGTGGAGTGCTTGTCTGGTATGTGTGAGGCCCTGAGTTTGACCCCAGCATGACACACACACACACACACACACACATACTCACAAGCTACAGACTGGGAGAAAATATTTGCAACTTATAAAACAAAGAAAAAAGTACTATCAACATTAAATACAGCCCTTCTGGAACAACAGTAAGGTAAAGATTATAGAACAGCAGGCTGGGGTTGTGGCTCAGTGGTAGAGGGCTTGCCTAGTGTGTCTGAGGCCCTGGTTTCAATTCTTAGCACTACATATAAATAAATAAAATAAAGGTCTATTGACAACTAAAAAATATTTTAAAGAGTCTATTAAAAAAGATAATAGAACAGGAAAATAGGCAAAGTATATAAACAGGCAATTTACAGAGCTACAAATGACCGATAAACATGTAAACCTATGCACCACTTAGCAAAATATAATGTATAATATTAGTATACCACTTATCAGTTATCTGATTGGCAAAATTGCAAAGATAATTTTTATAGCATTGTTTTTTACTTCTAAAAATGAAAGAAAACATAATGCTTCTCAGGAGAGGAATGGCTAAAGAGTTAATAATATCTACATTAGTTGACATGGAAAGAGCCCCAAGTATGCTGCTGAGTGAAAAACAAGTTGCAAAATATGCACCACATAATACCCTTTAACAATATTTCCATATGTACATGTATGTGTATGAAATTCATAGAAAATGGCCTGGTATTCAAATCAAATTAATAAAATGGTTCTCTTAGAAGAGGGAATTGGGGTATGCTGGGGTAAAATTTATATAAAGTATATCAAACATATCTTAAATGTTTAATTTGAAGAGTTTTAACAATTATATATACCCATGTAATTACTACACAAAACAAGATTTGGCTCATTTCCATTATCCTAGAAAGGTCCCTTGTGCCTCTTTCCAGTTAATTATCCTCTAATTCCCAGACAGTCTTTCTGATTTTTATTTCCATAGATTAGCTTTATTTGTTCTTCAGTTTCATATAGATGGAATCCTGCAATACTTCTTTGTATCTGGTATCTTTTACTCAGTATACTGTATTCATGATTTATCCATATTGTTTCATGCATAAGTACTTCATTACTTCTTAGTGTTGAATAGTATTTTACTTTATATATAACTGCAATTTGTCCATTCTTCTGTTGTTTTTGGTTTTAGGCTATTATAAATAGAGATTCATGTACAAGTCTTTTTTATGATAATGCTAGGGATTGAACTCAGGGCTTTCCTCAAGTCAGTCAAGTGCTCTATCAGTGAACTATACCTCCAAGCCCTGTGCAATTCTTTGTGTGGACATGTTTTCATTTTTCTTGGCTAAATAATATTGAGCAATGAAACTATTGGGTCATATGGTAAGTAAATATTAAGCTTTTTAAAAAGCTGAGAAAGTTCTCCAAAGTGGTTGTACTATTTTATATCTCCCATGGCAATATATTAGTGCTCTGTTTCCTGTATTTTCACAAACCATTTGGTGGTGTTAGTCTTTTTGCTTTAGCCGTTCTAGTGGATGTGTGGTGATATTGTGATCTCCATTTGCATTCCCCTGACTACTAAAGATATTGAAGGTTAGATACATTCCTCTGTGCCTCATTTTTTACACAGTTTTTTTTTTTTACTGTTGATTTGTAGAAGTTGTTTACATATTCAATATACAAGTACATTGTCAGGTATAGGTACTGCGCATATATTTTTCCAAAACAATATCTATGGATGAACTGAAATAAAAAAAAAAAATTCTGGGCTGGGGATGCCTTGTTGTTGTTGTTTTTTGAGACAGAGTCTCTTGCTAAGTTTCATAGGGCCTCTCTAAGTTGTTGAGGCTGACCTCAAACCTGCAATCCTCCTCTCTTGGCCTCCAAAATTTCTGAGATTACAGGTTTGTGCCACTTCTTACAGCTTAAAATTTAAATTTTGACAAAATACAAATTATAAATTTTCTCTTTTGGGGCTGGAGTTGTGGCTCAGTGGAAGAGTGCTTGCCTAGCACGGGTGAGATACTGAGTTCAATCCTCAGCACCACATAAAAATAAATAAATAAAATAAAAGTATTAAAAAATCTTAATTTTTTGTCTTTTGTTATTAATACTTTTGTGTCCTGTCTAAGGCATCATTGCCCACCCCAAGGTCATGAAGATATTTCTTTGTGTTTTATGTTAGAGATTTTATGGATCTTTGTTTTACTTTTAGTATGCTAGGAACATGAAAGAGGTATCACTCACTCTAAAATAGGTATTATAGAACAGGTTATTAGATGTGGAAAGAATGGAGAGTGAAAACCAAGACTTTTTGGTAGATATCTGCAAAAGAAAAGTCTTCAGATCTGATAAAGGGGGTGGAATAAAAATAAAATGCATAACATCCTGAGTACTATAGGTAAAATGAACTGATCCAACACAAAGCAGGAGGAAAAAAAGTAAAAATGCATTATAAATAGAAAGTGTGTAAAAATTGATGGCAGGAATAAATCTGAACATATAATAATGACAATAAAAATTGGTTAAACTCACTTAAAAAGAGACAAACTCAGATTATACTAAAAATAAAAACAAAATCCATTTCTATATTGTATTAAATAAGGTGGAAAAAGATACACCAGGTGAAAACTAATGAAAAGAAAGTATATGTCACATTATCAGTATAAGAAATACTAGAATTTCATTCAGACAGAGGGACTGAAATGGAAAAAGATATTGAATATTAATATGTATTGTTATGTTACCTAGAAAATGTCACATAATCTTTTATGTAATTTACAATATAGTTTCAAAATGGGCAATGCAAAATATGATATATAGTCATCTGTTGGTATCCATGAAGGATTGGATCTAAGACCCCTGCAGGTACCAAAATCCACAGATGCTCAAGTCCTTATGTAAAATGGCACGATATTTGCATATAATTGATGCACACCATCTAGTATATTTTAAATCATCTCTAGATTACTTATGAAACTTAATATAATTTTAATGCTATCTAAATAATTGTTATACTATATTGTTTGGGGAATAATGATAAGTAAAAGTCTATATATGTTTAGTTACAAAATTACAGATGTAATCCCCCCCGCAAATACTTTCTATCTGAAGCCGGTTGAGTCTATAGAATACAAACTGTAAACATAAGGAAAAATTGTTACATTTATACTCATAGTTAAAAGGCTTGATACATCTTTTAAAATAATTCATAGATGAGCAAGTATATAGAGGATTTGAGTATTCTAATATAAATAACTTTGAAGAAAACAGAGAATAACATTCTTTTCAAATGTACTTGAATTAAAGACTTTGCTTATGTATTAAAACGTCCTTATTCAACACTAAATCCCACCATTTAAAAAATGATAATGACAGAGGTAACTTTTGGTATTCATA